TCATGATCATCCTCATCATCATCCCAGGGTGTATCAGGTGCCAGGCGGTCAGGAGGCCAGTGACGATGGGGGAGAGGCGCCTTTCTTCTACCGCCATTGTCGAAATTCTCATCATCCTCTGTAGGCATGAGAGGCTGGGACTCGATGTCCACCCCGGCGTTGATTCTGCTACTGCTTCCTCTCCCCAAAGACGCAGCAGCAAAGGCTCGAGATCGTGCCAATCCGGGCACCACGGCGGTCCGAGGCATGGGTTGGAAAAGGCGACTATCAGATCCAATAAAACCGACTGTGGTGCCTACACGAAGTAAATGGAAATCCTTAAAATCTATCATGCATACGGCTGCCTGGAATAAGTTATATCGTGTGCATCACTTCGTGATTTCGACTTGGAACCGAACGAGGAGTTTTAGAAACGAGTTAGATTTTTAAAAAAAACTCAATTTTACTTTCAGTGTGATGCCTATGTCACTCTATGCTAGTTATAACACCTAACCCGAATACAAATTCCTTACCATAGGAGAATAGCCAAACAATCGCATGCGTGAGCCAGAAGCAGACGGCTAAAATTCCTCATGAACACTTTACTTTAGTCTTTAAGACACAAGCAAATTTTTCATCCCCAAAGTTGTGTCTGGATTTCGAGACGTATTCTGAAAATCAGGACACTCTTCTTTACTCACTTTTCCTTTTCCATTTAAATTGTTTAGTGTAGAAAATGGAATACACAACAAACCCCATTCATGCCATTGCTTGTGCGGCCATTTTTATTAATGTTTTAATTCTTTTTGTAAATGGATAATGTGTACAAAGTTCACAACACAACGCTTTTTGCTTGAAAAATAGCAATCCTCCATTCCACTTACTAAAATAAATGAATTTGGTGTCACTATAACAAAAAGGTTTCGTCTTAATTACAAATTTGATGATGCAAAAAACAGTTAAGTGCACAGTGACACTAAGGATAGGTTCACGTAAGTCGAAATTGCAACGTTTCTTCCCTTGTGGATGCTAGTGATGGACTTGTCAGACACTGCTAAAGTCAGTAAACCAGGCTTCCCGCGTTAAATGCGCCCAAATATCATAGAAAAAAGGCACGAGTCACAATGGCTGGATCTTCGAAATGCCATAGCAGAAAAGCT